ACATTTCCCAACCTAATGGGTTGATAGTTCAGTGAACTCTGTCGTCAAGTGGCAGTGCCTTCAGGAGTTGACGCACCACCCCCAAATCTGCCTAGGAGGGACAAGTGGCCAGTTACATATGCTGATGTTGACTTACTCAGGCACAAAAGTGGGGTGCCAGCATGGGTTACTCAGCAGTCGGCATCCTCAGACTGGCCTGAATGAGACTGAACTTTTGTTTGAATAGTATAGATGTCACATTGTCTAATTCTCTTTAAAACTCCTATTTGATTTGGTATTTATTTGACCATCTGTACTCCTCAAATTATTATGGGGGGATGACTAATTTTTCACTCTAGTTGGTCTTGAATTACCAGTGAAGTTAAATGCAGTAAAATAAAACACTTTCCAAGTTCCTGCCTCTAGTTGCTGTTGCAGTGTCCGATTGTCTCAAAGCTTCTTGAATGCTTACCCTGCGTATCGCCTGGAAGGCTTCTCAAACGGACCCTGGCCCATCTTGGACCTGATGCAGACTATTTCCAGAACTGTTGCTTTCAATGGAGAGGCTGATGTTCTTATTTGAGAGGCACCACACCAGGCCGTGCTTGTTTCTGTCACAAAGGGCTTCTCAAAAGACCTGGGCCTCCCTTCCTCCCTCCCTTCGATGCGTCTCACTCCATGGGTGCTCCAAAACTGGTAGCCGTGTTTACCATGGAGCTTATACACTTACTGTCTCACACAAGAAAATTATCTTTGCGAGATAGCTCAGTGGACTAGATACCTACTTAGGCTAGCGCTAGGACCAGGGTTCAATCCCCAGCATCACATACCATGCTGGCCCCTTCCTGGGGCACACTGAATCATGGACCCAGCCCAGGCTTGGTGGCACATACCTGTAATCCCAGTGCTGGGGAGGCTGAGAACAGGAGGATCACTAAGAGTAAGCTGCATAGTGAGACCCTGTGCAAAAAAATAAAAAATAAAAAATAAATATTTTTAAAAAGAAAATTATCTTTGGCTTTTCAGTTTCTCCATTTATGTATGTGATGGTCTTAAATAATCTTGGTCACATATGAATGACTGTTCTGAAAAGAACTTCTGTGTCACTTTGTGTTGTCTGGATCCAAAGTGTACCTCACACAGAGGGGCTTGAATTTGGATGTATATATAGGTACTGTGCTGTTAGGTATATTATGTTACACTTCTGTGTAAGTGTAAGTTGCTGCCCCTGTTACTACTGTAATTGAAGCCTCTCTTATGATTCAGCTACTGGCAGTTCTACATCTTGCTTACCTATACCTATTCTGCCCAACTAGGTGACTTAACATCCTAGTCTCCAGTTTAGCAGATACAGCTGTTAAGGACTGAAAGCATGTGAAAGGTTGTGCTTTTACAAATAGCACCAGGTATTGTGGGAGGCAGGGGGCAAGAGCCCCATGGGATTGCCGGGCAGGACTGGGAGAGGAGCGACAGGAGGGGTGAGGGAAATGCAATGCCTTGGTGGGCAAGGCCAATTGCTGTGGCCCCTAAGGTGCATTTGACTACCAGAGGCTGCTGGCTTGGGAGTCTAGTATTGACATACAGATTAAGGTGCATGCTGCCTGGTAAGAACCTGGGGCGAAGGAACTGTGACCTGCTCAGGCTAGGCTCAGCCATAGAAGCAATCTGTGGCAAAGAGCTCCCGAACAGAGCCGACAAGAGAGCAGATGTGACCTGAGAAGAAAAACAGGGTAGAAGAGGACACTGGGCATCCTGGAGAAAGCCTGTTGGCCACGAGCCATGGCCCTCATGATCGCATGCACAGCGTGTTCATCTGGAAGTGGGGTCCTCCAGCAGGCATCGCTGAGCACCACTGAGACCTCCGGTGAACTTAGTTTCAGAGTTTCAGGGTTTAACATGCTGAAAGCCAGCATCTTGTCAACCTGAACAAGCCATCTTACACTTATTTCTTCACCTCGGATGTCTCTTCTGTTATACATTCTCTGAACTCTAGAAGCTATGATGAAATTCAAATGACATAATCTGTATAATGTTGCAGTTCATTTTTCCATGCCTCTGCAGTGCCAACATTCCCTTTTGTTCTTCCTGTTCCACAGGGTAGCAGGTTATGGGGAGAAAATCAATAGCTGTTAGTGAGCATTTCAGAAAATGACTATTGCTGAACTCCAGAATCATCTGGGGTTACTAGGTGCCACATTGTTATTTGACTGTTCTGATGAGACAAGTTTTAAGAGACTTGATTTGATCTTTTGACCTGAAAGTCATGTGTGGGCGTGCATGCGTGTGTGTTTGAGTTTGAGAAAGGGTTCACTATGCAGTCCAGGCTGGTCTTGAACTCACTTTGTGTAGCCCAGGCTGGCCTCAAACTCACAGCAACCTCCTGCCTAAGCCTCCCAGTGTTGGGATTACAGGTACTTGCCGGTCCATTTTATCTGTATGATGGAGGAAGGGTATCTGTATTTAGCATTTTCCATAGAGGTGGACACCCACATGTATACACCCATTTATACTGTTAAAAAGTATGGTAGGAATCTTATAAAGAAGAGTACAGGGCTGAGGAGGTAGCTTGGTGGTCTAAGCACCTGTCTGGCAAGCGCAAGGACCTGTGTTCAGTCCCTGGTACTACATGCCGTGCTGGGCTGTGCTGGTCACTGAAACCAGATGTGGTGGCACACACCTGTAATCCCAGCACTGGGGAGGCTGAGACGGGAGGATCACTATGAGTCTGAGCTGCATAGGAAGACTCTGTACCAAGTAAATAAATATTTTTTTTAAAAAAGAATGCATAACAATCAGACCTTTAAAAAAATAAGGACTTAATGAAAATATCTGTTTGGGAACATGATTGTGATCCAGAGGGAATTTTATACCTGAAGGTGAAGGAACCACTTTTTTTTAACATTGCAAGAACAGCACAGGTTCCTTGTATGGCCAATTCTGTTTCCCTAGTGTTGCTGCATCACTAAGGCACCTGATCTTACTACAGTTGTTGCCTCTAGGACATTTAGGCTTGTATAGGACTGCTAATGAGTCTGCAGCCTTTGTCGGGTTTCCCACCAATGTCCATTTGCTGGTTTAGGATCACACAACTGTGTGCTGTTAATCCCACCGTACCTGTAACATTCTTTAATCTTTTCTGACCTCTGTACTTTGGAGAGTGCGGCCCACTGTTTTATAGAATGCTTCTCAGTGTTGGTTTGCCTGATGTTTTCTCATGATTGGGTTGGGATGCACTTTGGACCAGAATGCCACTGAAATTACGGTGTACCCTCTTGGTGTATCCCATCCGGAAGAACAGACCAGCAACATCCTTCCACCAGTGCTTTTGACTCTGATTGCCCTTTTAAGATGATTCCTGTTAGAGTTTACCAGTATGAAGTTAGGATTTGCCCGTGTTGTTAGTGTCTTGTCATTTGTTTCTTTGGGGCCTGACGAGTGAATCCGTGCGCGCGCCCGTGTGTGTGATATGCCCTCGCAGCATCCCTGAGCTACACCCTGCTGCACTGTGTTCTTCAGAACCAGCTTATGTTTCCTTAGATTGTCAGGATTGGAGCAAGTGTCATTCACATAGAGTTGCAGAGGGCCCTGAATGGATGGGTCTAAAAAGTGACACTTCATAAAATTATGGAGTGTTTGAATAGATTTCTCTCCAAATAGCTTGCCTGAAATGGATTGCCTGACATTACACTGCAGGATTTTTAAGTCCTGCCTCCAGGCAAATCTCATAGTTACTAGCAAAAATGAAAGTGTGAAATGCTTTTTAATGTATATTTAACAACATGTAGTCTGATGATTGCTGATGTGGAGTCTCTCTGGACTCCTTGCTATCAGAGGAGGATGCTAAGAGACAACTTTTTACAGGTTTATTTAGCTAAATCCATCACGTTTACTTTTCAAATATCTGTGATTGTCATTTATGACAAGATCATAAAAAGTCGAACACTTTTAAATCTAACTCAAACTTTTTTGCTGTGATGAACATATACTCTATATTAAACCTGAAAATTTAAAAGTCAACATATAGATAAAATGAAAGTAACCATAACTTAGAACAGAACATGAATTTTACTCAAACTTTGAATCATAGAATTACAACCAGTTTTTAGGAAAAGTACAATTACCTTGTCCAATTGATACCATCCTTACTGTGTCTTATGAAATTGCTAGTTAAATGATACTAAAATACAGCCATTTAAAAAAAAATACAGCTTAGTAAAGGGGCCTAAGGCATAATGCTACTTTATTCATCATTTGAACAGAAATTCACATAACTCCCATTTAAAGGAATTTCCATCATTGAATCCAGTGTCATGTCCACTTGGGTTGAAGAATAAATTTGGTGAACTGGGCTTAAGTCCTTCCTGTGCTGTCATTACTTAATAAGGAAGGACACAGGGACCGTTTTTACCTTTATGCTGAGTGCACAGCCAAGAGCTCGTGTCCTAGGGCTGGTGAGACAGCTCGCAGGAGTAAGTGCCTGCTTAGGCAAGACCAGGGTTGGATCCCCAACACCGCATGCCACGCTGGCCCCACCCTCAGGCACACAGAGCCCTTGACCGAGTCTGGGCATGAGGGTGTGCATGCCTGTAATCCCAGCACAGGGCAGGCTGAAAACACGAGGATCACTACGAGTCGGAGCTGCGTAGTGAGATCCTGTACTTTTAAAATACATTTAAAAAAGAGTTCAAACCCTACTAATATGCTAAATAGTTGTATAGTATACAGATCATTGTTGTTAAAATAGCAGTACCGAAGGTATTCAGATCCCAGAGCCCCAGTGGTCTGCATTTTGTTTGCTTTGACATTATTAAACTCAATCTGTTTCTCTAACTGTGACTCTGATTACTACATTTGCATGGCAGAAAAGTTTGCTTTGTGAGTTGACTTTTATTATTAACAGTGCTTTTGTATGTTGTTTTCTGCTTTCTCAGTGTTTCATGAGCAGACAGAGCACCTTCAGTTGCTTTGAATAATGATGCTCAATCCATAAGTTTTATGTTTGTCTTTGATGTGGCCTGCAGGATGCTGCCGGGAAGGTGCTGGACCGCTGGGCCATCATGTCTCGAGAAGAGGAGATCATCACCCTGCAGCAGTTTCTGCGCTTTGGAGAAACCAAATCCATCGTGGAGCTGATGGCGATTCAGGAGAAGGAAGGGCAGGCTGTCGCTGTACCGTCTTCAAAGACAGACTCAGACATAAGGACTTTTATTGAGAGCAACAATCGCACCAGGAGTCCCAGCCTCCTCGCTCACTTAGAGAATAGCAATCCTTCCAGCATTCATCACTTCGAAAACATCCCAAACAGCCTTGCATTTCTGCTTCCATTCCAGTACATAAATCCTGTCTCTGCCCCGCTTCTAGGGCTGCCTCCAAATGGGCTGCTTTTAGAGCAACCAGGGCTGAGGCTCCGGGAGCCAAGCCTTTCCACCCAGAATGAATACAATGAGAGCAGTGAATCAGAAGTATCTCCCACACCATATAAGAATGATCAGACACCCAACAGAAATGCCCTGACCAGCATTACAAATGTGGAGCCCAAAACTGAGCCAACCTGTGTCTCTCCCATCCCGAATTCTGCCCCAGTCAGTGATTTGACCAAAACTGAACATCCAAAAAGCTCTTTCCGCATTCACCGGATGAGAAGGATGGGCTCAGCCTCTAGGAAAGGAAGAGTGTTCTGTAATGCATGTGGAAAGACGTTCTATGACAAAGGCACCCTCAAAATTCATTATAATGCTGTTCACCTAAAGATCAAACACCGCTGTACCATCGAAGGTTGCAACATGGTCTTTAGCTCCCTCCGAAGCCGTAATCGGCACAGTGCAAACCCCAACCCACGCCTTCATATGCCCATGCTAAGGAATAATCGAGACAAAGATTTAATTCGGGCCACATCGGGAGCGGCCACCCCTGTTATAGCAAGTACAAAGTCGAATCTCACACTCACAAGCCCTGGCCGGCCCCCTCTGGGTTTTACCACTCCCCCGTTAGACCCTGTCCTACAGAGCCCTCTCCCTAGCCAGCTGGTGTTTTCCGGACTAAAGACTGTACAGCCAGTTCCTCCGTTTTATAGAAGTTTACTCACACCTGGGGAAATGGTGAGTCCTCCAGCCTCCCTCCCCACCAGCCCCATCATTCCTAGCAGTGGTGCCATGGAGCAGCACCCTCCCCCGCCCTCTGAGCCAGTCGTGCCAGCCGTGATGATGGCCAGCCATGAGCCCAGTGTCGACCTGGCCCCCAAGAAGAAGCCCAGGAAGTCGAGCATGCCTGTGAAGATTGAAAAGGAGATTATCGACACCGCTGATGAGTTCGATGATGAGGATGATGACCCCAGTGATGGCGGAGCTTTGGTGAACGACGCGAGCCATGACAGTCATTGCCACTCCCAGGAGGAGATGAGCCCAGGCATGTCTGTGAAGGACTTCTCTAAGCACAACAGGACCCGGTGCATTTCAAGGACTGAAATCAGAAGAGCTGACAGTATGACATCTGAGGACCAGGAGCCCGAGCGGGACTACGAGAATGAGTCTGAGTCTTCAGAGCCCAAGCTGGGCGAGGAGTCCATGGAGGGGGATGAGCACCTCCACAGCGAGGTGGCCGAGAAAGCCCTGCTCAGCAGCGAGCGGCCGGGCGAGAACCACAGCGAGCCCTCACACCAGGACGTCATCAAAGTGAAGGAGGAGTTTGCCGACCCCACCTACGACATGTTCTACATGAGCCAGTACGGACTGTACAACGGCGGGGGGGGCAGCATGGCTGCCCTGCACGAAAGCTTCACGTCGTCTCTGAATTACGGCAGCCCCCAAAAGTTCTCCCCAGAAGGAGATCTGTGTTCCAGCCCAGACCCCAAAATCTGTTACGTGTGCAAGAAGAGTTTTAAGAGCTCCTACAGCGTGAAGCTTCACTACAGGAACGTTCACTTAAAAGAGATGCACGTCTGCACCGTGGCCGGCTGCAACGCCGCCTTCCCTTCCCGCCGAAGCAGAGACAGGTCAGTGAATCTCCAGTGGCTGCTCCTGCTGAGGGAGGCGGGTGCTGGTTTCGGGCATGTTGGCTTTAACATTAGAAGATCCAGCTTCGATGTTTTTGAGGCACTGTGAAGATTGTCCACAGTGACCCCATGATAACTAAGCTGCCATGCTCATGGAGGATCGTTAGAGTCGGTGCTTGTGACTGTGACGCATGCAGAGTCATATGCCATTGTACCCAGTCATGCACGTCATTTGCTCTGTGCGCTGTGTACGTGTGTGTGTTTCCATGCATTTAGATGTGAGCAAGTTAACCGTACACAATTCCTGCCTTCCCATGAACGTTTACCTAGAAGCTGCATTTTCTGTCTCATATATATACACACGTATAGATATACATGTGTATGTGTGTATATGCGCTTTGCCTTGTGGCTTTTTAATTAAAACAATATGTTATCTTCATATACACATATTTATCCAATATAGAAACAGAAATTTACGGATGGAAAGAACCATAGGTCCAGGACATCGAGACAGCCTCCATCTCCGTAGGTATAACCAGAAATGTTGTCATTCCTTACATGAGTATTTAGTGCATCCTAATTCGTTAAGAGCCATGAAAATATCTGAAGAAAATGAAACCAGAGTAGTTGTGGATGTGAGAAAGGGGGTCGCGGTGTGGGCTTCGTGTTAACGTCACAGCGTCTCTGAGCACATCCCTCGGGTGCAGCCTTCCATTGGACTTGGGCCCAGAGGGAAGGCTCACATGTCTTCAGAACCAGTTAGGATGCCAGGCACAGGCTTCGATGGCGACATGCTAGGCCTGCAGCCAGAGACTACGGCAGCAGCTGGTCCTAAATCTGCAAGTGTAGTAAAAATGGAATGTGTCAAGGTGGTCAGTGTGAGGCGACATGGTTGTTCCTAGGCTGTGGAGGTGAGCCTCTCAGTAGGTCATTTGCATAATGCCCCAGCCTGTGACAGGCCGCACACCAGATCCTCTCATTGTATTGGATGTGGTTTCTTTTCTTTTTAAAAAAAAATGTATTTGGTACAGGATCTCAGTACACAGCTTGGATGCATAGTGACCCTCCTATCTCAGCCTCCCCAGCACTGGGATTATAGGCATGTGCCACCATGGATTGAACCCCGGTCCCTGCGCCTGCCATCCAGGTGCTTAGTATACACTGAGCTAACTCACTGGCCCACCGGATGTGGTTTCTATGTTGTCTTTAAAAGTATTTCTAGAGAAAATTGCATTACATTACAAAACCAAATTATGTCAAACAAACAAAATTTAATGAGGAAGTTTGCCTATAGCGACCCCCCGAATCCTCGTGCTCATCGAGCAGACTTTCTTGACAAAGCAGCCTGCCGTGAAAGCACCACTGAATCAGCGCAGTGGGGCCGCATGTGCTCCACGCAACACACTGCTTTATCTTTGTATTTTAAAGATCAATCCTTTTTCAAATAAATGTTTAAAAATATATGGTTTTTTTTTTCTACTAGCATAAGAGAGGCCCAGTCTATAAAAAGTAAAAGCTCTAAGAAAAATGAGTTGCTTTCCTACACAATTTAAAACATGCTTCAAGGGGAAATCTATGTTAGATTGTCCCACCTCCATTAACCATCTTTTGTAAAAATTGTTTATAGGTGCAGTTATTTTCAGTTCCAAGTTATCATTGACAGCCCTAGAATATGTCAGATAAGATAGCCATACTTTGAATAATAACATATACTGTACCTGATCTCCCACAATTTTGTGCGTAATCAAATTTGAAATAATGTACTGATAATGAAATTAATGCATTAAAAATTTTAACATAAATACAACTATTTATGGAAATGGAATATGTGAAGATAAGCCAAAATTGAAGCTCATTTGCATGAATTCCTATCATGGTTGTAGTTAATTCATTGAAAATATTGGAGGTCATAATACTGGAATAAATAGCTGTGGGGCTGAAAGGCCACATGAGTACCCTATGCTTAGTGCTTTCATTTGTACCCAGCTGCCAGAAAGCACGTGTTCTTTTGTGCTTACATCCTAATATAAAAGGAAGGTCTGTCGACGTACTGTTGATTTGTATGAAGACACATTTTGATAGTGGGAATATATCAGTCTTTATTTTTATTCTCAGTAGCCAAGAGCTTAGCCAGTGACCAGCCATGTCCCACTGATTAAGCAGAATATTCTGGGTAAGAGCAGTACAGATGTGTTCAGTCTTGCAGAAGATGACAAGGATAGTTGGGATGTTGCATTTGAGGAAAATTATCACCTATACCTCATTTTTTATGGTCATTTTTTAATCCTCTTTGAAATTTTTCTCTTTAAAACTACATAAATCTTTGGATCCCAGATTTAACATTTTAAACTTTAATATTTTTAGTTTTGACATGTTTGTCAAGAAAAGGGTTCTTCTTTAAGTCTCTGATGTGGGTTAGTGATGTGAGGTCAGTTTCCATAAATACCAGAAACCGTGATGCTGTGAGATTATCACCCTCTTTCTGTATCTCGGCAGGGTGGGCTGTGGAACTTACTCTTATCACTGTTTGAGCCTCCTGCCTGCATATCTGCATACTGTCCCCTGCGCATGCGTCTTTACCACAGAGCCTCTTGGATTGCCCTTCTGATCAAACCCTTAGGCTTGCTTTTTCCTCTCTCCCCACTTTGACTGTGTTCATCACAAGAAGCCCCAGGAGTCTGGGTTGCTCTTTCCTCTTGTCCATTGGCTATGAAGCAAAGACACAGTTTCTACCTTTTCTTGTGCCGGCAGACTTCTCCAAAGAAGCCCTTCATCTTAATCCCACGGTCCTCAAGCTCATTTCTTTTCCCTCCCTAGGGTCTCAGTTTCACGCAGCCTTGATTCCAAACACTGTCCTCTTTGTACAGTTGAAGTATTTGAAACATTTTGGGTGGAGGCTGATGTGTGTAAAGTCCAGCGACTGCCTGTGAGAAAGCTGACAGAATTGCTGTCTTCCCCGCTCCTCCCCCTCTTCCTCCTCCTCCCCCTCCTCCTCCCCCTACCTCTCTCCCTGCTCCTCCTCCTCCCTCCTCCCCTTTTCCTCCTGTCCCCCCTCTGGTCCTCATCTGTAGGATTAGGACACCCTAAGGGAGTAGTGTGCACGCTCCCTGGGCTTCTTCCAAAGCAGGTCGCCATGAAGGAGCTGTGGTTTCAGACTCCAGATAAGCATATTAGTAAGATAGAAATGGAAATAAATCAAATCCTTTGTTGTGGGCTTGACAGAAAAAAAAATGCCAGGTCTTTACTTATGCTTGATTTTTATAATATCAAATTGAAAACTTTTTGAAAAGCAACAGTGTTGTTTTCTCGTGACAAAAAGGGAGGTGAGACAAACGCAGGTTTATTGGGCTGAGGATTCCGAGCAGTCCAGCCAGTGCTGTTCTGTTCTGTGCAGCTAGTTGTAGCTGAGTGTAGGTTCTGATGCCAAGAGGACCATCCCACACTGATGACAGAGAGCAGAAAGCCGATGTACACGGTCCAGTCAGCCTGAGCGCTAGTTGGCTGTTAGAATAATTTGCATTCTGAGTGAGAGAAGTGAAAAGTACATAATTTTCTCTGTAAAGAACTCTGATGTTCTCGATTGCTAAGTGTTCAGTGTAGGTTGGTATAATACTATACAGTGTTAGATTTTGAAAATCCTTTCTTTATCCTTTAATTTTTCTGCTGCTGAGCTACACTTCTGCCAGGGAACAGGAAGCTGGCCTTTAGTTTTGAGTAGGCAACGTATGAAACATTTGCTGAGCAGAAGAAATTCTGGCTTAGCTGACCTGGACCCATAATCTTGATAAGGGAAATTTTCTTGACGGTAGCATCATAGTCAGAGTTAGCTGGCTTAGTTCACCTTTGGTGAGTTCTCATCCTCTGACTGAATATTTAATCTCAGGAAGGTGACTGGCCCATGACCCACCTGTATTTAAGGAATGTCAGTGTATCAGTTACATTTGGTTTTTATTGCATGGGGGGAAATAAATATTCTTCTATCCTCTTAACATTTTCCATTATTAAAATTTACTTCTGTTTGTTTTTGTGATGGCCAGTTTTAAAACTCCCTTGATGAAACTGAAGGCTTTGCACACAGAACTACAGCCCGTGTGGAAAGAAGGGTTTCTATTTGTTATCCTTCATGAGTTTCATAACCCTTATTCCTCTGTTCTCCTGCTAATTGCTAAGATTTGCCCTAAGTTTTCTCAGAAAGGTGAGTGTATCTGTTTGATTTTTCAAGGCATATCAAAGGTGATCCATCCACATGAATAGATACAAAAAAATAATATTTGTTTAGGGTGCTTTATAAATAAATACAAGGCAACATAGGTGCCAGGTGTGAATCTTCTCTTTGGCTGCTAGCTCAATCAGTCCAGATTTAAACATGTAAACTTCTTGATTTGTACAGAACAAGACATCTGTATTTGGTTTATTAAAACCTGCTGATGTCTCCAGAACTATATTTGTTCATAGATAGGCCTCTAGGTAGCTGTATCTGAAAAGCAGAAACGTGTAGCTTTTGCTTCTCTTAGTACCTGACTCCCAGCTCTGTACAGGTGTGTGAGAATAAATTAACATGAGCTGCCTCCGACGAGCCACCGCATGCATTAGCAGCAGAGGTGAAGAGGTGAGAACATGCTACCTGCCTCCTGTTAGCACCTTCTCAACGTACAGCCTTCATCTTTTCCGTCATCCTCTATGTTTGGAAACTTAGAACTTTTCTAGAGAGAGCTTTTCAATACATACACATGATTCGCCAGGCAGTACCTCTAAGAAATGAGCCACTTAGCACCAATTCAAGATAACCGCTCTACTGGTATGTTTGCCTAATATAATTAGCTGTCAAATATAGTGCGTTAGTCCTCACCAAGTTCAATAGGAGCACTTTTTAAGGGATCATCTGTTTCATTTTCTGGTTTTTTTTTCTTTTTGTTTTGTTTTGCTTTTGTTCAGCAAAACTACAACTGCATTTTACAATCCTTTTAGGAAGTACAACTATTAAAGAAGAGATTTTTTTT